CATTCAACAGTGATAATTTCTATTTCTCCAACATTTCACCGACCGACCTTATTTCCTCTATAATGAAATCACACACAAACTCCATCAGACTTGATGGGATACCAGTCAAACTGTTAAAATTATGCCTTCCCGAAGTCGTTCCAGTTCTCCTTTTCGTCTATAATTTTTCCCTCCAGAACTCAGTTTTTCCAACTGCTTGGAAAAAAGCATTAGTCAGACCTATCAACAAAATTCCCAATCCTACCTCTCCTAAAGACTACCGCCCAATCTCCATTCTTTCTAACCTTTCTAAACCTCTGGAAAGAATAGCTCAATCCCAAATCTCTAAATTCCTTGAAAACTCAAAACTACTCGATCCTCTCCAATCAGGTTTCCGACCTGGCTTCTCCACACAATCCGCCCTACTAAAAATTACCAATGACTTACATACCGCAATGGACGAAAAAATGTTAACTGTGTTAATACTTCTCGACTTTTCCAAAGCTTTTGACTCCTTAGACCACTCTATACTCTATACTAAATTAAAATCTCTATCCTTCTCCAACAGCTCTATCCTCTGGTTGCAGTCTTTCCTATCCGACAGAACTCAAGCAGTCAGCATTCCAAACCAACCCCTATCTTCCTTTCTTACACTGTCCTCTGGAGTGGCCCAGGGTTCTAGCATTTCCCCTCTCCTTTTCAATTCCTACATAAATGATCTTTCCAAATCCATCTACCACTGTTCACATCATTTATACGCTGATGACACCCAAATATATTATTCCTTTCATCCTTCTGAGCTACTAGTCGCGTTCGCCAATATTCAGGCAGACCTAGATAGGATCAGTGCCTGGGCAAGTCTGAATAATTTAAATCTAAATGCGATGAAAACTCAGGCCATTATTATAGGTTCCAGTCCTGTTCTTAAATCCATCTCCTTCCTTCCTCCTTTAGTCATCAACGATCATCCTGTCACATTCAGTTCATCCGTTAAAAACCTAGGAATCACCATAGACGAAAACCTCTCCTGGAAACCCCATATCGCCCTCATCTCCCGTAAGTCAATAGGTACCCTTAAGCTATTTCATCGCTCCCGCCACCTACTCCCACAACCCATCCGCAAGCTCCTTGTATCCTCTCTCATTTTCCCCCACTTTGACTACGGCTGTGTGGTGTACGGAGGCATCCCGATGGTACTCGAGGATAGATTGAAGCGACTCATGAATACGTGCTTAAGATTTGTCTTCGGTACATCAAGGCGATCTCATGTGTCCCACCTTTACGACGAGTTAAAGTGGCTCTTCCCTTCTTTCCGCAGACAATATTTCCTCGGATCTTTCCTATTCCAAACAATCAACACCAGACACCCTTCTTACATCTACAGTCTCCTACAGTTTAAACCCGTGGTCCACTCCCAGAAAACAAGATCCCGTGTTTCCGACCTTTATATCCCTTCCCATAGAACTAAGACGTTTGAATATTCCTTTATTTCCCGATCCACAGCCTTCTGGAATTCCTTGCCATCTGAAATCCGCCATGCCTCCTCCTTGTCCTCATTTAAATATCATCTCTACCAATTCCTTCTCACATCCCAAAATGACGTTATACAATAAAATAAATATTGTGAAACAGATTTTGACTGAGGTGAATGGTTGATAAAATTTATTGAGTCTTAATTTTAAAAATCAACCCATGCTTATTTTATTTTATTTTTATTTTCATTTAAATAATGTTTTTTTTTTATTTCGTTTTTTCTCAAAATTTTATTTTATTTTTACTTGTTTTAATTTAATTTCACTGAAGATACTGTATATATTCTTTAATATTGATTAATGTAATTTTTGGCCAGATGTAGTTTTTATTTTTTTGTTCATATGTGTTATTCATAAGGGACTTTGTCCCAGAATAAAGTTTACTTTCTATCTATCTATCTATCTATCTAGATGTTACAGAAAGTTAAACTTATATTGTAATTAAACTACAAATTATTCTTATAAGTAAATAGGTACTTGTTTTGTCAGTGTTTACAACATTTAATTAATAATTATTATATATACTTTATTTTTAAGATTTGAAATCGATAATTACTTTTTCCACAAAATCATATAATAGTTATTGTAATAATTACATTTGAATTATAATTTTAAAATTATGCCTAATTTATAAATAAAAAATTAAATAGATCTTTGATGTTTATTGATTCAATTAAAAATAGATACGGTTTTATATAGACAATAATGATTAAATTTTGATAAAAAACAATTTTGATCAGAGTATAAAAATCACATTTTACACACAAATTAATATTGATATGATTGTATTCATTATTAAAGTACACATTTTTTAATATAACATTTCTTTAATAACTTTAATTGTGTATGCGTTACCTGTACTATTTATATATATATATATATATTTATGTACTTACTTTTTTTTTGTTTCATAATCCATAATTTAGAATAAATTTCGGAAATAAAAATGTTATGTTGCTAATAGAAAAATTTTGTTAAAAAATAATGATCAGGATATGATTTTCATCACTTCTGATCAACATTTTTTATGATGATGATTTTTAAAAATTTCAGATAAAAATTTTGAACAGATTTGATTTTTTTTTTAATTATCGATTTCAAACCCTGTATATTATTATTACTTTTTTTTTTTTAAGTTAGGTGATGTTTCGCCTATGTAAAATGGATGTATTTTGCAACAGTCAATTTTATACCACTTTTTCATTATTAATTTCGTTTACATCTATAATAATTGTAATAAATCTATATTTAAATATTTAATTTATAATTATTACACTTTACAAATTTTATGTTATTAGTAGGGTTTCCACTTTGGTGAAAAAGTTCCTTTTTAGGAATTCCTATGTAGGATGGAGGGAAAAAGTGATACAATTTTAGCAAGCAAAACCAATTATGAGCACAGTTTAATCTATTTTTTAATAATATAAGTAAAACTGACATAAAACGAGTAGTTGCATATAATATTACGTATTATTTTGTATATATTTGGGCGGAAGTGATTTTTAATTTTTCATTTTGAGGGAGAAAAAGGGAGAATCTGATTGACCAAATGGAAATTTTTTAAAAATAAATTGTGGAAATACTGGTTATTAGGTATGGTCAACTGTTTTTTTTGTTCTATGAATGAATTCTAATTTATTATGTTAACAAACAAAAGTTGTTATTAATTCAAAATTTATGATAAAACATTTTGATTTATTATTTTATGTTAAATTTAATTTTAATATATGTCATTCATCGTTTAATTCTTTAAAACATTACTAATCAAGACATTAAAATGTATTTATTATTTGATATTTTAGGTATTTAAAATCAAAATAGTCGAAACTGATGTTCATATCCAAATATCTTATAATCTTGTCTGGGGTTGATTTAGTTGTAAATTTAATCATATTATAAATATTTTAAGATTGTCAATTTAATAACTCTATGTATTATTTTTTTGTTTACTTTAATATATAAATCTTCTATTCACCAAGTAGTTATAGTATTGATTTTTGCTCCAGCATTTTAATTTGTTCTGCAATCAACTTTTCTTTTTTTTTTTTTAAATCCACTTAGTTCAACAGATAATCTTCCTACCATGCTTGTAATAATGTGTTATTGTTCTTAATCAGTTCCAATAAATTCGAATTTTTTAAATTATTCTTAGCACATAATTTTATTCCTGTTTATGTTTATTTCTAGTCAGTACAAAAGTTAGTACATCAAAACTAATTATATCCTTATTTAAGTGTTGTCTAATTTTATTCTATTTTTTATTTATTTTAATTCAAATAAAATTTTGTTTCACTTCTATTACATTTTTTACACCAAGATTATATAGTTCATAAGCACAACTCAAGGAAGATAATTTATCTGATGGTCTGTTTATATAAATTATAATTAGTTTTAAATTTTTTTTCTGACTAACTAATCTATGAATTCTAGGTTTGTAATATTTATTATTTTACGCATTTTTAAAAATTTATTTGCCTACTCAAGTCTAGGATTTATTCATACTTTTCTAAAGGATTTTTGTCTACTAATATACATTCATTTATTGGAAATGCTTATTTTGTGTTTACTGTATCTTCTTTCTGCATTAATGAATTCAATATATTGGTATTCAGTGGAAAAAAGAAAAAAATAGCTATAATTCACTTGTGAATTTAAATAAAATCCTGTATTTATTTAATCAAATTTTACTAAATGAACTTTAGCATTATTCAAAATTAAACAGTATTAATTAATTATAATAAAATTAAAATACAGTTGACTTTATTAATTATTTTACGCCATGAGAAACGATCAATGAAATTAAATAATAAACAAGTAATTAAAAATTATAAATTTTAATGCCCATTATAGCTTTTCACAGTACAGCCATAGAAAACATAGCTATACTCGGCGGTTATTGATTCCTAGAATTCCTATGATGTCCAGAAATATTCATAGCATGTCCCATACCTATTGGGACATGCTGTGAGCGGAAAATGTTTGTCATTGGGCCTTGTGGTGAACTACATGCCCTACACGTTTAGGGCACTGTGTGACTGGAGAAGGCATTGTGTGACCGGGCCTATGCATGAACATTCATCATGACTTGCCATTCCCAACACAGTCACACGATGCCCTAAGTGCCCTACAGTGCAATCGTTCATAGCACTTAGGGCATTGTGTGACTCTGACTTAAGTTAATGATAAAAAAAAGGTAATGAAGTAAATACTGTGACTGCTTGAACAATATTTACTTTAATTTCCAACTTTTATTTTGAAAACAACACAAATTAAAACATATGTTTTTTATTTTCTTTTATAAATGTGAATTTCATATTAGATAAGTTGCTTATCAATGCACTACCTATCATATATATATATATATATATATATATATATATATATATATATATATATCATATATATAATTTTGTTAAAATATAATTTTCACATCAAAAGTTGTTTTTATATTTGTTAAAACGATACATACCCCGTATGTAATATAACTGTCTGAATAGAAGTTTCTTATGTATTTAGCTACTAATCAAGCACTAAATTCTTCAAGGTTGCTTTAATGTAATTTTATTAAGTGTTTTGAAGTAATGAATTACCCTTTGACTTCCTCTATTTAACTATAACAACATTTCAAGCCAATTGACCAATTGAAAGCAATTTGGGGTTTATGATACATCTGTCAGAGTGAATTATTTTAACGAAATTTGTTACAAGTAAAAAATAATGTAAATGTAAAAAAAAAAAAAAATAAAAATAAAACAAGTAAATATCCAATAGCTCTAGTCAGGACATCTTTATTTAATTCAGTATTTTAGTTATTCATCTATTGAGCTAAACAGTGCTACCGATCTCTTTAGCCACGCTGCTTCACATTTTAGACTAGGTAGCTTTACAGATAAGATATAATTCTTTTGATAGGCTCTTTCATTTCTAGGAGTGACTTCTTTTATGACGGTCTTATAAATTGGACAAATGTAGTTCGATTTATAAAGTTTGTCATCATCAAGATAGTCAGAATAATCATCATCCTCGCTATCTGACTGAATTATTTCTGGAATAAGGTTTATGGGAGGCATTGCTGAAAAAATAGGAAATTAATTAATTTTTCACTTAAAAGTAGATAATTTATTTATTTCAAATTTCAGATATAAATACAATTAAAAATATTTGTTTTTAGGAAAACACCAATTAATAAATATTCTTATATAAATAAAAGCTATTGATCAGCAGTAAATAAAAGTATTTATTATTTAAATACTGTTCATTGTAATTGAAACAGATCTGGATGAAACTAATTAGACTGGAACATCACAGTTAGTTTGATATTTTGTTGTCATATGATACAACAGTTAGACTGGAAGAGAGGAATAAAATTTGATCACACCAAACTTGAAGCAATTGTTGCTTTTTTTTTTTTTTTTTTTTTTTTTTTTTTTTTTCTTTAAGACATTTACAACTGTATTACATAAATACATCAAGTAAATTTGGACATAATTGATATAATGACATGAATACACTTGCTGAGTAACTACCCAATGGTAGCACTCTAATGATATGACTACATTAGGAGATCACGGGGCCATCTTCTTTTCAGACGCCTCGGAGGGTTATCAGGAATTGAAGAGGAAGCAAGGTTAGAAACGAGAGGGTTGGGATGATTCTGAAGTTTATTATGGAAGGATAGGTATCTGGATTGGGCCAGATCTGAAACATAAGGAACATTAAGATCTTTATGGATAATTTTATTAGTGACAAAGTAAGGAGCATTGAGGATTTTACGAAGGATTTTGGATTGTAAGGATTGGATGCGAGAGGAATTCGATGGTTTAGTGGAGCCCCATAGCTCAACTCCGTAAGTCCAAATAGGTCTTATTATAGTCAAGTATATGAGTCTTTTGTAATTAATGGGAAGTTTAGAGCGTTTGTCTAGTAAGTGCTGAAGTAATCGGAAACGTCGAGCGGTTTCTTGTCGTTTCAGTCTAGTATGAGGATTCCAAGTTAGTCGTTTGTCCAGGTGGAGTCCTAGGTATCGGATTTGCTCAACAGGGATAAGTGGAGTATTGTTAAAGGAAACTGTAGGACAGGAAGTCGTTGGTTTACGACGAAGGGTAAAGGTAATTTGGTGGGATTTATTGGAGTTTATTTTAATTCTCCAGTTTTGACACCATTCTTCTAGATTTATGATGTGTGATTGAAGCATTTGGGATGCAATTGCTGGGTCATTGTTTACTGATAGGATACATGTGTCATCGGCATATGTGGTGATGACAGTGTTGGGACAGGTAGGGATGCCAGCTGTATAAACTGTATAGAGGATAGGACCTAGGATACTACCTTGAGGAACACCAGCGGACTGGGAAAAAAGTTATGAATAGGCGTTACTATGATTTACTTTAAAGATTGTATCAGTAAGGTAGGAACGGATAATGAGAATGTATGTAGGTGGTAGGAATTTTCGGAGTTTGTACAGCAGTCCCGGGTGCCAAACTCTATCAAACGCCTGTTCAACGTCGAGAAAGACTCCCGTACAGTACATTCCGTGCTCCAATGCATAGGAGATTACGTCTACCACATGATGACATTGCTGTATAGTGGAATGGGAAGTTCGGAAACCAAATTGGTGATCTGGGATTATGTGTTTAGAATTTAGGATAGGGTACAGGCGTTTTAAGATGAGTTTTTCTAGGATTTTGCCCATGATGGGTAAAAGAGAGATAGGACGGTAAGAGGATGGGTATTCTGGTGGTTTTTTTTGGATCATTTTAACAATAGATCGTTTCCAAGGATCAGGAAAATATGTGGAACGGAGTACAGCATTATATATGTAAGTAAGGAATAGGATGGCTTTTCGAGGAAGAAGTTTTAGGATCTGGGATGTAATTAGGTCATGTCCAGGAGCTTTACGGGAAGGTAATTTTTTAATGATGTTGGATATTTCTATGGGATGAAATGCTTTGGGTGGCAGAGACATTTGGAGAGGAATATCCATTTCTGCTTCAATACAATTGATGTGAGTTGAATTAAGGATATCGGGATGTGGGCTAAAAGTTTGGAAGAGATGTTGACCAAATAGTTGGGCTTTTTCTTCGTCGGATTTGGAACAGGTTTGGGAATCAGTAAGGAGTGGGTGATTAAAGTCTTGAAAGTTAAGAAGTTTTTTGGTGGTCATCCATAATGATTTGTCAATGGTTGTAAGTTTTTCAGTAAAATTTAGTAAATTTTGAATTTTGTATTTTCTAATTTCTGATTTCAGTTTGTTAGTCAGTTGGGTGTAATGCGATTTATCTGTTGGGTATCTAGTCCTATGCCACTTCGATCTTGCTCTGCGTTTTTCCTGTAATAAGATACGAATATGCTGTGGCAAGTTAGTATTTTGTGGGAAGTTAATCTTATTGATAAAGGTGTTATTATTTATACTGTCTGTTATTGATGATGTCAGTTTTTCTATGGCACCATTAATGTCTTCTTTTGTCTTTAGCGGGATTTTGAGGTCTAGTTTGTTTTCCAAATCATCACGAAATTTGTCCCAGTTTACTCGTCCAGTGGTCAGTTTAGGAAGTGATGGTTTAGGAGCAAAGTCAGAATGTAGTGAAAGCAGAACTGGACTATGGTCTGAAGAAAGATCATCCAGGGATTTGATTATAGTTTGGGAGGAGGAAATCTGGGAGGTGATAAATATGTCCAGGATATCGGGATGTTTTTTTGAGGGATGTTGGAAAATAAGTAGGATTCATCGGCGAGAGGATGGAATAATTGTTGGAAGAAGAAACTTGTGAAAGGGTATTACCACGGGAGTTGGATGATCGACAACCCCATCGTTGGTGTTTAGCATTGTTGTCTCCTCCAGCAATAAAGCGCGATCCGAGGGATTGCAATAAGGATTCAAGTAGGCTGTACGAGAGGGAATTGCCAGGAGGACAGTATACAGCTGAAAGTGTTAGATGGAAAGGACGAGTTGAGAGGATTACAGAAGTTGACTGAATGGCATCTGTTGGAATGGAAGGAATAAGGGAATGGGGTAAAGATTTGTGGATAAGGATGCAAGAACCGGCGTGGGCAGTGTTGTCTGGGTGGTCAGATCTATAGGTGATGAAGTCACGTATGTAGAAATGTGTCCGTTGGGTGAAGTGAGTTTCTGTTAGGAGGGCAATGTCAATATAATTGTGATGGAGAAATATGTCTCGTTCGTCACGGTGGTTTTGCAGTCCATTAGCGTTCCATAAGAGAATATCTAGGGACTTTGTGTTCATCGAGGGAAGCTAAGCGGGATTTCGGAAAGGAGTCTGGTTAGAAGGGTTATGAGCAGTTTGATAGTCTGTTGAAGATCTATCAGGAATTTGCTGCTTTTTAAATTTTTTTTTTATATATACTGATTATATATATCATTTTATTGATTCTAATGAAATTCAAAATTCTATCTTAGTTAAACCATAAATTACAATTATTAGTGAACACATGTTTTGTCAAGTTACATCTAATTTTAATTATTACATTGAACTATATTATTTTTTTTTTTTTTTAAATTAGTGATGTTTCACCTATATGAAATTTATGCATTGAGTAAATTAATTTGGCTATTACTAATTTTTATTACATCCTCAATATTTCTTATCTCTCTATTTGCTTTAGCATTAGGGTGAATGCACCAGTAACTGACATGCTTAAGGAAATTTCTTTGAACTTTTACATGTAAAAACTTGAATATTGATGTTATTAAAGTTTTCATAGATTCATCTTATAGAACTATTTCTCACCCCAACAAGAGATATTTCAAATTCATGAAACATTTATCTAAATTTTAAAAAAAATTTAAAATTTAGAGAATAGTTTTGTTGTGCCAGTAGCTGACACTGTTTGATTTGAATTGTTTCTATAGCTGACAGAGATGATGAAAATGAAGTAATTAAGAAAATTTCATTTTAAGATTAACAAAAATTATATTTAACTTATTATAAAACTAACTTTTTTCGTTTTTTGATTTAAATTTATCAATAAATGTTGGTCACTGTCAAGAACTTTTTTTTGGAAATAGGAAAACCTATTTTTGCTTTATATTTAATCCAAATCATCAACAATTTTTTTTTTAACGAGACAGTAGTGAATGGTTCCATTTTTAAGACCCATTATATTAAGTATATCTCTTTGAATTTACGAGAGTACAAGCCTGTCAATTACTTGCAGAAGTCCCCATTATAAGGCTGCAATAGCAGACACCTATTAATAATAAAACATAAGAGGTACGTTTTAAATTGTATGGATAATTTGGTATAACTTAAAATTATTAGTCAATTATTTTTTCATTTCTTTATTAAAAAAACAGTACAGAATTTATTTTAATTGTTTTAAATTATTTAAAATAACCTATTATTCCTCAAACTTGGGTGTCCATTACTGGAACAGCATTTAATCAATTGAAATAGTAATAGAGATACTGAATCATTTAAGTATTGTAATTTCATTTTTATCTATTTCATTGATTGGTTAGTAGATATTAAAAAATAGTATGCCTGAATGTTTTATTTAATTATGGTAGCACGAATAATAATAACTAGTAATAATAATAACTTTTGATGTATCAGGCCGTCTGAATCATGGATGAAAATTATAAATCCTTCTGTAATCCTTCGGTTAAGTTTATGTAATTCACTTTATGTTAATGTTTACAGGCAAGCACCATGCAATCACATAAAATCTGGAAATATCCAGAAGAAAATATGCTAAATGCAATTTATGATGTCCATTGTGGCGTCCTAATTAGTGTAGGCCAATTGCAAGACCAAGAAAAGACAGAGTCAGTCTCATGGTCACTTGGTCTTGCATCAACAAACCTTGGTCGGTAACAACCAAGAATAAATTAAAATTCTAGTTCCAAAGTATTAATACATTAGAGTACTCCATTTATTTATTGTTACTTTCTTTTCTTTAGTAATCAGATTATTAGAAGTTTCCGTTACTATCTAAGATTCGATACCACACAAATATAAGAGCAGAAGTATCGGTACCAACCAAGAATAAATTAAAATTCTAGTTCCAAAGTATTAATACATTAGAGTACTCCATTCATTTATTGTTACTTTC